GAATGATAGTGGAGAATTCTTCGCAGATTTCTGCGACTTAGGTCATTGCAGAAACTGGAGCGGAATCATGTTCTTGTCTACGCCCACTAAAATACCAAATCGGGTCATCCTGAAGAGAGAGTGGCTTTCATGATATCACCAAAAGCGTCGGTGCCACAGCGTTTAGGACACTCGCCGACCATGCATATGGTCCGGAGTTCGACCCCCTGCCGACGCACACCCGATATCAATGGTCGGCCTGCTAAATTTGGGCTACCGATATCACATGCTGAAAATTCCATACTTATATCAAAACTACAGCGTGGAATCAAGCTATAATAAAAAAAATAAACAAAAGATGCACTGGATACGGAACTCTGACAGGAACAATTCAGATTCAAGAAGAGCGAATCACATGCGGATCAAACTGCAAATTTAGGAGTCAATATTGAACAAAGCATAGAACGGTAGTGAAATCTTTAATTCGACTTCATCAACGCTAGGAAGGCCTTCGACATCACTGACCGAGAAGTGATTTGGAAACTACTTCAGCACTATGGAGTGCCCCAAATCTTTATCAATCTCACTCAACAGCTATATGACAATACCACATGTCAAGTGATCCACAGTGGAAAACTCAGCGAGGTGTCCGAAGTGAAGATATGAGTAAGAGAAGACTACCTACTATCACCAATGCGATTCCTAATTGTAGTGGACTGGACTATATGTCAGACTGTGGGAAGCGAGAAGACACAAATACGCCGGACCGATAGAAAGACTGTAGAAGATCTGGATGCTGTGGATGATTTATGTTTAATGTCACACAAACTCGATGACCTATAGGCGAAAAGCAACAAACTGGCAGAAGAAGCGGAAGGCGAAGGCAGACTTCAAACGAACATTGAGAAAACGTAGGCGATGAAGATACCCTAGCACCACCAAAAACAACAACTGGCACCAATCACTGTAAACGGGAGAAATTTGGAAGAGGTTACTTCCAATACTTATCTAGGAGGCATCACTTCAACTACAGGTGGAGAGAATGAAGATGTCAAAGCCAGAATCAGAAAGGTTAGGCAAACCTTGATCATTCTGAAATCAGTTTGGAAATCCTCTCCAATCAGCATAGAGAACAAGATTTGAATTTCCAACAACAATGTTCAGTCGGTCACTTCGTCTATATGGTTTAGAAACTTGACGCGTCAGAAAAAGCATTTTTCAAAAGGTTACAGACTTTTGTCAACAACTGCCTTCGCTTCATACTGAAAATCAGATGGCTGGCCAAAAAGAAGTAGCAATAAGAAACTCTGGAAACGAACCAACCAAGAATCTATTTCTCAACAAGAGTGCAAAAGAAAGTGGCAATGGATTGGACATATGCTGAAGAGGTCGTTGGTTGACATTGCACCCCAGGCCATGGGTCGAGTGGAACTCAAATGGGAAACGACAAGTGGGGCGTCCGAGAGTGGAATGGAGGAGATCGTGTGAGGAGATGAGAGACTATGAGCAAACGTTGGGTCAGCTTAAGAGGACCGCATAAAAGATGGAAAAGTGGAAATGTGCTATTGAAGCCCTATGTTCCACTTAGAACCCAAGGGAACAATTACAATAACAATAATATTTGGTGAGTAGTAACTAGCAATGGAATCCAAGGTGTGCATTTCACTCTATTTGGGACCCTTTAACTAAATGTACCTACAATCTCCAATGAACGTTTAGGTCCGAAATACTCGAAATTAGATTAAACAAATAATGACTGATACCCACTGCATGAGAGGTGGCTCTTACGAAATAAATGGCCTATCAAATAACACTAGTGTTTAAAACGATTGGTAACGGGTTCCAGTTTTTTTTGGGAACGTCATCATCCACTGGGAATAAACGGCACATCCAACAGACGAGCCCTAAATAGGATAAAGTGTGCATTTTGGATTTCACTGGTAGTCATCATATACCAAATAAGATATATGAACTGTTATAACTGATTTTGAACCTTTTCATCAACTGGAATCGGCAGTTTGAAGCAGCATAATAACATCAAAGCTGTCCAAAATTTCATACACAGAACAAACCCAAAAGCAGGTTAGCAACTTTCTTATTGCTCACTAATGGGATGGGGCTAGGGTTCTCAAAAGAGAGCTTAGAACAGAAGTGCAGAAGTTTAACTTGCCACACTCCATATAGCACACAGAAGTAGGGAGAAAGGAAAAAAAGAAATTTAAAACGATTATAATAGTCAGAAATGTATTTTAGAAAGAATGCTGTCATGAAAGAAAAAAAAACCAGAGGACTTATTGAGTCTGTGAGATTACAAAGAGTGAAAGCATCTGCACCATTTACGACAATTTCCGGCCAGATCATCACCAACAGAGTCCAGCGATTAGTTCTAAACATCCCGAAGACCCCAACCAGACAATCAACACCTCCCTACTGTATATATATATATATATATATATATATATATATTCTAAGTATAAATAAATCAAACAAGGAAGCAGCATAACAAGAAAATAGTTAATATCATAGAGAATATTTGTTCAGAATTTAATGGACGAATGTAAATCAAGAAGAAACTAAAGGAATAAGTACATACTTGTACAAATAAAGCTATCACCGTTTAACGGTAACCTTTTAGGACACCAAAAGTGATGGATTAAGTGGAATGAAAACATACAAAAAAAACTGTCTTAAAAAGCAAACCTATTAAGTGTCTTGACTCAAATGCATTCCACAACACACACAGATATAACAACACGCTTACTCTCATCTTGGATGATAGTCGCTTCTGCGAATATCAACTGGTTAATCATCTCTAAAGTGAATCATGTGACAGTGACAGTATGAGAAGTCACAACTCTTGCAATACTTCCTTTCTCTCTTTATGCATATTTTAGGGATTTATACGGATTAGTATACATTTCAATGTTAATTTAGTAAAGAAAAAGATAACACTGAAAAGAATCATTAAAAAAACCACGCAAGAGCACTGGACAGAGCTGTTTTGTCGCAGTTTTCATCCATCAAAATGCTGCTTTAAACTCTTTTGCACTTCTTATTGTTTCAATCATTCAATTATATCAAATGACCAATACATGAATTCGCGTGTATGTTGAATCAGTTTCCTCCCTATATGCTATGCAATTGACGAAGGAATTAAAGGCAAAATATATGGGATTGGTTCTCTCCTCATATGGAGGGAGCAACACTACGACAAATGATGCACTTCAGATTATTACTTGACAAGTAAATTCTGTATGCAAAGCTAATATTTTGAAGCTAAGTAAGCTGAAAATTTCTGTAATGTATGCTCACATATTGTCTGAAATAAAGCTTTATTATTATTCAAGACTCTTCAGAAGTGCCCATCCATGAAATACACACATACAACCGCAAGGGATAAAACGCAGGACCTTTAGGTTACGCGGCCAGCATCGCTGACTACTCAGCTACTACTGGAGTTGAGATACAATTACCTGTGATTTCATGACTTCTGTCATTTCATGAGATATGCGTACGAAAGACGTCAACCAATATCATCGGTGAGCATCCGCTTCACCCTGACATGTTAAACGTAACCAGTCACTATGTCATGACATAATCACTATTATGCTCAAGATTGATATTCTGGGTTCCAGGGTATTACATAAAACTGATATATTGAACACACTATATCTCAATTACTGGTTGAATATTATAAATAGAGAAACAAAAGATATACAGGTATTCAATTCAAAAATATATCTAATCTACGCAAGAACTGAAATGTTGAACAATGAAATAGGTGGTAAAAATTCATAGTAATAATTCATGTTTAAAGTCCAACTTTAGCGAATTCTTTAATGTTATACAATACAGAAACAAAGGCAAACAAAAGATATACTTTTTTTATTATAGCTTGACTCGACACAGTGTTTTTGGTAGAAGTATGGAATTATCAGCATGTGATATCGGTAGCCCAAATTTAGCAGGCCGACCATTGATATCAGGTGTGGATCGGCCGGGGATCGAACCCCGGACCATGTGCATGGTCGGCAAGCGTCCTTCACGACACATAGCGCGACCGCCAACCAATGTCTAGTGCTCACTGGTGACTGAGTACAGGATAAAGTTGGTTACAGTTCTCGTGGGAAGTTGTAGCCGACGACGTCCACCAAGTAGAATGTGAGGACAGATACTCACCAACAGCAGTAACTGGATTTCATCCCAGTGACTGAATAGTCAACGAGTATCCTAAATAACTTCAAAGTCATAAGTTCGATCCCTAGTAGTGGATGGCGTCATTGAAAGTCCCAAACTAGAAGAAAACAGCTGCTCAGCGTTCTCTGGTTTTTAATAGTTTTCTAAGTGAAGTCAGTTCGTGATCGAACTTGAGACCAACCAAATCCCTCTGAACAAAAGCATGAAAATATATATTTATTGATTGTTCAACAAGACGCTTTAATACAAGTAAACAGACACAGAGATAATGAAAATATTCATATAGGTATTAGCAAAAAGTGCGTCTGTAGAAGAAAAATCTCCCATCCAACATAAATATAATACAATACCAGGAGATCATGCTGATGATAAGAGTAATCAAATCAAACAAATAAACGGAAAGAAATGAAGATGAATTGTACATTTACGTTGTAGAGACAGCTGAGTGATATTACACGCCAAAAAGGCTCTCGAGTGAAACTTGAATGGGAAACGACGAGTTGGGCCTCGGTACGACGGTGGCATGGAGGAGATTATGTAAAAACGAGGAAATGAAAGCCTATGAACAATCGTAATGCAGCCATTTAAAAACGACTGCAGTGAACAGAATGAAATGGAGATGTGCTAGTGAAAGCCTATGGTACACTCGAAACCTAATGGGGTTTATTTTATTGTCCACAGAGAACGCTGAAGAAGACTAGAAACCAAAACACATGTCACTGTACACACCCAATTGACATCATACAGTTAAAAAGTTTAAAAGTGAAACACAAAAACACGCCAGAGTTTTCCACTAAAAAAGTATACTCAAATTTCACACTAACCTGTATAAAGAAATTAGGGTGTTTCCCACGTTGAAGCCATCGCTTAACACACAGTACACATGCATTGCACAAATCACCTGAACGTGTAGCAGCCTGTGGACCAAAACATGTCCCAAAGTGTTCGGCATATCTCTGACTAGCAGTGAAACGTGAAGATGAAGATTTTGTCCCGCATATACAACATCCTAATTGACTACGGAAATGTGCCCGACCAGAACCACCACCGCCGCCGCTACCACCACTAGAGGTACCACCAGTTCCGCCACCACTCATTCGAAAGACAAGTCAAATGCCAAACCTTAGAAAAAAAAGCAAAAACAAAATACACTTATTTTAAAAGGGAGATAGTTTAACATTAGGTTGTTACTTTTTGATAGAGCTTAATTCGTATCAGTGATATGACGCATCAATCCGATCAAACAATCAAACGTTAAACCCTCACCTGAACATTTAAGACAGTTTTAAAAACCGAGTTCACTTCACATTTGTGTATGTGGTTCTACCAAAACATGACAATTTGAACTGCTACACTTTTATGCATAATTCTACGTGGATAATTCAAATGATTTCAGTTCAGTTTTTCAAAAGCTTTAATCAGTCGATTAGCCTAGACGTCATCAAACTGGAATCAACTAATCATACGTGTTAAATATCTACGTTACATTCAATTTATTGGAAAAGAGTCAGTGGCGGTCAAACCAAAACATGGAATCAGTCAATGAAATCGAATGATATCATTTTATACTGCAAATCTGGTCTTTCTTTATCTATCGAAATTTATCAAGGGAATCAAATGTATGAAATCCACAGCAGTTAGTTTCAGACACGTAAGAACGTGTAGGTTTCCTGGTTGGGGTCCTCGGGACGGTAAAAACCAATGAAGGCTGGAGACAACTGGTGATATGGCTCAAAATAGTTCTCAATGGCACAAATGCATCTACTCCTTGTGATTTATAATATCCAATAAAACTATGTAGTTCTTCCACATTACTATTATTTTTGCCTCATATTTCTGTTTATTATCTGTTTCGGATCTCTTTTTACCCTCTTCTCTTGCTTTGTATGCTAAGTGAAGTATGGTAACTCGAACTGCTGTGCACGGGTGCAAAGTTTTAAGTTGAAACCAGTCAGTCAGTCAAACCTATTAACTGACGCCTACTCACCATCAGTAGACAATTTAAAAGCTTAATGATTGGACAGAACTAAGGACAGTCAGGTTTTCAGGTAGGCAGAGGCAAAATATACCAGCTTATAAATCAGATGATGATTGTGCTATATATTCTTACGTGAAACCAGGCGGTACGAAGTTCAGTTCATTACTGGGTTTCTTTAATGTGAACAGTAGTGAAACTTTTCGAAAAACAAAAAACGCAGGACGTTGTTGTTCCCAGAATGTCCCTCTGATGTCAGTTCATGAAAAAATTTAGTACATAGCCTGAAGAATGTTGTTATTTTTTTACAGGAGAATTTCCATACTGTGACTGACGGTCAGATAATAAAACAAGAATATTTAGTAGGGCAGACTCTATATGGGCAGTAGTCAGGACTTCATTTTTGTTTCTTTAAAAACAGTCGGGAAAAAAGATTACAAATTGTAAATACCAGTAGTAGGCACGAGACACGAAGAATGTATTCTTTCCATTTTTTCTTTCGACCACATACACAGTGAGAAAGAGGGTGTCTTTATCTAATAAGGACATTTACAGTTACATATCAAAGAAATGATGTTTTTCGGGCAAAACAAAGACTAACGACAAGCAGTTCCATAGTCTTCAAGTTTTGATTATTTTTCTAAGCGGAGTGGAGTGAGAATTTCATTGATTTTCATAGTAGATATTATAATCATGGATCCATATCGGTAAACAGTTGTTTCCTTTAGTATTTGAGATTCCCCTCAGTAGTGAGCGAAAACATGGTCCCTTAAAAAATTGAACCAAATACCTGAAATTTTCGCGATATATCGCGATTTGCCACAAGTTAGAATCCATGGATCATTGGATTTTGACTCAGTGACTAAATGTTAACGTGTTCATTTCATATTCCTGGGGGGTGAGAATTCTAAATGAGCAGCAGTGAAAGGCCCATAGTAAGACGGTATAGCTGTCAAATACTCCCCGGATTTACTTGACAATGGTTCTTTGAATGATACCGGTTAGCGATGAAATCTACTCTGATCCGCAATCAATAGCAAGGGATTCGAATCTCGCTCCAACTACTTAACTCAACCTGGGCAACTGGATAGTATCATTAGCCCACACACATAACAATAGCGGCGTACAGTTCGTATAACTGAGTTCTAACTGACTAAACCAACAACACTGATTTGTATGATGTAACTGTGAATACAAGTTGGTGTTTGTAAAAAGAAACAGAAAAAAATTGACAATGACATGAAACTACAAATGCTGGACCAGAAATTGTGATGTAGAATACTGTGCTTACTCAGGACAAAAAAGTTGAAAGCACTTGATGTCACAATATTTTCACAATTCTGTATTGCAGTATATAATATTCGCATTCTTTTCATTATCGAAGTTACTCATATCGTTATTCTGTATGCGTCCCTTAAAGCTATCATGCTGGGGTAAACACTGTTATGCACACAAAACGACCACCACTAATACAAATAATAAACAATCAATGAGGTACTTTCCTCCGTAGTCAGGTAAGGAAAAAATGTAAGCGAGTTTATGATATAAGTGGATGTTTTTAGCTGTTAGGGTGACCTATCTTTATCATCACTACGCCTTCGTAATTCTACACCCGCTTTCATCGGGCATACAGTGGGCTCTGGATAAAAGGAGTAATTCAAATGACAAAAACAGTAATAATAACAGTGATAACTAAACGCATTTATGTAAATACGTCAGTTAATCTGCTTAACTTGATTCAGCGTGGAACAGCTCGTCAGTATCATTAGCCCTTAACTACACATAATAAGCGTGACTCATACCTCAGAGGTATCGGATAACTAAGTTCGGACATCGACTATAAAAATCATCACGCTAATCCTAACAGGGTCGAGCTTTTAAAAGACTGGCGAGATTTCAGAGAGATTGAGGTATAATCCATGTTGCTAAAGTCATTCAAAAGCATAGGTTTTCATGTAAGTGAACTAATGTTTGTAAATATTCATTTATACGTCGGTCGTGAAGTAATTTAGAAGCTGTAATTTAAGACTAAGTAGTAACCCAAGCTTCTATCAACCTCAATCAGCAGCTAAAGGATGATGCCAAATGTCAAGTGATCCACTGTGGCAGGCTCATCAAAGCACTTGAAGTGAATATAAGAATAAGAAAAAACTGTTTCCCATCATCGATGATATTCCTGATTGTAGTGGACTGTAACATGCAACAAATCGTGGAGTACGAGAAGGCAGACATACGTCGGACCGACAAGAAGATATGAACTTCATGCATGATTTATATTTGATGTCATACAAACTCAACAATCTAAAGGCGGAACCCAGAAGTTGGTAGAAGAGGCAGCAAACATACAACAAGTAAAAATAGAGAAGACAGAGGTGATGAAGATACCCGACTAACAACAACAGAGAGAAGTAACCACTAACAACAGAAGAAATCCCCAGGCCACCTCTTCCAATTATCTAGGCAGCATCATTCCTACCACAGGTGCTGGCATGGATGAGGATGTCAAAGGCGGAACTGTAGGAGTAAGACAGACGTTTATTACTATGAAATCAGTGTGGAAATCTGCTGTACACAGTATAAAAAACAAGATCCGGATTTTTAACACTAATATCAAATCAGTCAGTGTTTCTATATTGCTCAGTGACTTGGTGAACGTGTCACAGAAAACCATTTCTAACATGCTACTGCAGACTTCCATCAACAGTTGCCTTCGTTTGACACTGAAGGGCAAACGGCTGGCCAAAAAGGATAAAGAGCAAGAAAATCTGGCTACAAAACAACTAAGGATATAGAGGAGGTGGTGTAAGGAGGAAATAAAAGGCTTATAGGCGATTGTCAGACACTGCAGAACAGAGAGTGAAATAAAGATATACTATTGAAGTACAATGTTCCACTCGGAACCCAACGAAGTAATAATATTAACACCAATAATGATAGCCTACCTTCATCATCTACGACAGCATATTTTAAAACAGCAGTACCGAGATTGTGTTGTCAAATACTCTTAAGTTAGAGGAATGGTTGATGAACACACAAGATCACTTTCTAACCTACTTTTGAATCAGGAATTAGCACAGACTATTTTTTCAATAGTGACCACGAGTCTCATGGTCTCACATACATCACTGTACTGTGTGGTGAGCTACGAATAATATTTCACTGTTACACTTCTTATTTATGTAGTTACTTTGTTGAATACAATGTTCAGGAAGTCTGTTTTTTAATAATTATAATGAAAAGCTGTTTTACTGTTGCTTATATGTAGGGTATAAACAAAAGCATACAAAAAGTAATAGTATTACGAAATTCGATAAGGAAAAAACCCAGAATAGGTGATTATGCAACAAGGGATAGGTAGGTAGTGGGAGAAAAAAGTGCTTTCTCTGCAAGAGACGACAATAACACACAAAAATAACTAAGCAGCCACACACACAAAACAAAAGCGAGTCCTGTCTGAAATCATCCAGACTGCTATTACGTTATTCCCCCAAACGCTAGAATAACTGCATAAGCATAATCTAACGCACTTTACATTGTTGCCCAGTTAGTTGCCTTTTGCAGCCTGAATACCAACAGAATGATGAAACAGAAACCGAAAATACTGAATCGGGGTGTTAGTGGAAAATAAAGACCAATGGGTTTTCTAATTTAGTCATCACTATTTGACTTATAACATGACCAGACAGTTCTCAGCTCTATTCTTCTCTTGCTTAAAGTCGTAGCTGGATTATGTTGCAACATCGATTTTGATTCGCTCTTCACTCTTCCTAGAATTGATGGAAAAATTTGAGTTGAAACCGATCAGTGGTCCATAAACTTTAACAGAAACATAATAAACTTCAAAAGGAAAAGGATGGGAATATTGAGGAAAAACAATGAAAATAGTTTGCTATCAGTTAGAGAATCATTAAAAAATGTCATTCTGGTTTGGAACTCGTCAACAGTACGCACTTGTGATCGAACCTGAACCCAACTAGGTATCTGCATTTATTGTGACATGTCATCAACAGGAGGGTCCAATAGGTAGGGCGTGAAGAGAAATACTGGCAAATGATGTTAGAATTAAAATTTATGGGCCAGCCATTGGATTCCGTCCCAGTGGCTGAATGGTCAGCCACCTCG